GCATCTTCCTATTCAACATTAAGTATCTAGATATTAGGCTCTAAGCTAGTCATCATAGCTTTTTTTACAGTTATTAGGGGCACATAAGCACCTCCAGAAGGTAATTCATCTGACTTATCTTTGGACAGAATGAATTGTCCTGTGGAATTGAACAATTGTCTCCAATACCAAAAAGACAGTCTAGAGCTTAGGCTAGTCATCTCATTTGAGACAGTCCTAACCCAAGAAAAGTCCAGTAAATTCCACTCCACATATTTTAACCAGAACTCAGTGTTAAATTATGCCTCATTCCACAAGCAGTTCTACCAAATCAAACTAAAAGCTTTAGAACAAGGTACTATTTCATTAGTCCACAATGGTACAAAGCTGTGCCAGGGGAGTTTAGACTGGACATTAGGAAGCATTTCTTTACCGAGAAGTTGGTCAAACACTGCAACAGGCTTCCTAGAGAGGTGGTCGATGCCCCAGGCCTCTCAGTGTTTAAGAGGCATTTGGACAATGCCCTTATTAACTTGCTTTAACTTGGTCAGCCCTGAATTGGTCAGGAAGTTGGACTAGACAATCATTGTAGGTCCCTTCCGACTGAAACAGTCCAGTCTATTCTATTCTATTCTATTCTATTCTATTCTATTCTATGCTATTCTATGCTATGCTATGCTATGCTATGCTATGCTATTTTACATCAAAAACATCGATGCTTATTTCTCTATGTCTTCATGAAATACCAGCCAGGGGTACTTCCCCACTCCTGAGCGCAAGTGCACAGTTCCATTTCTCTATGTCTTCATGAAATACCAGTTCTTCACTCATGTCGTAGCTCCAGGATCTCAAGATGAGACCCAGGCTGTACCACTTTATCTGTGTTCCTGTGGTTTTGTTTCTGCAGGAAGGATACACAAAGGTTTAAGAGCTGTGCAGGAGCCACGACATACTCCAAGCTAGTCCCAGGGTAGATGCCTGGGAACCAAGACGCCAGGAGGCATTGCAGTATACACTTTCATACAGGTTACATGCAGCTTCCAGTGCTCTTATTTAAAGTCAGCCTCTATTACAAAGATAACAGGCAATGTACCGTTCTTAAACATACAAATAAAGCCTGGCACCTGGATCTACCCTTGAAAAACTCCCATCCAGAGAGCTCTGGTGTGGAATACACCCCATAACTGAGAGCAATATAAAATTGTTTCTCCTCAGCTCTTGTTGTTTTCCAATCTTTGTAAAGGGTGTCTTTGTTTAATACAAACTCATAGTATTTTTTTAATGTCATTGTCAATTTTATACATAATACTGCTAAATTTTATAGTTTTCAACTGATAGGAAAATTCCTCTGTTTGAAAAAGACATTTTCCTTATTTTGCAAAAAGGAAAGGAAACAAAACCAAGAGAGCTTTTGAATTAAAATAATTATTTTAGAAAAAGTCTGTAAGAAGAAAAAATATTTCAAAGGTTTTGGGTTTTATTTTCCCCTTTTTTTATCACTTTTGCCATCATTTGAGGAGGGCAACGTGAAAAAATGTTTGTGTTTATTTATCAAAACATTGAGGCTAGCCATATAGAAAAAAATTCAATTGCTTCCTCTCACAACTGTTTCTCAGTTTGGAGGGGAATGCTGCAATGTGCCTGGTAAATCTCAGCTGTGCACATAACCATTTCACAATTCTCCTAATGTGTTCCTGAACATCCTCTCTTGTTGTGGTATAAAGCTAAGGAACACAAACACTCATTTCTTTATCTGAAGTAAAAAAAAATTACTGGTTGAGCTAAAGTGTTATTGTTTTTCCTCCCCTTCCCCTCCTGCAGGCTACATAGACCCAAACTAGTCAATTCTAAACCAGCACAAGTTAACTCATTACTCAGTCCTTTCATACACACTCCTCCGCCCCGTATTTATTCCTTTTCCACAGTTAACTCCTAATGTCAGCCCTCTCCCACTAATATACAAACTCAGAAAAACAGTTTAAACTTTCCATAATACCTGTTTTTGCATTCTGAAGATAAATAATTTCCACCTGACTTTTCTTAACATTTGAATTCTGAGTACCATCACATTCATGCAATTTCTAATTCATTGTTCGTGTATTACCTTATTAGATCCCCATATCTGAACAAAATGCAAAATGTCAAGTAGACCACATTTTTAAAAATCAATTCGTTCTCTCCCACTATTTACTTGGCCTTTTTGCTTAGTGACTGATACCATAAGTATTAAGAAGTTGGTATCATCATTTTTTACAATAGTGTGATTAAATATTCTAACAGAGGTGCACAAGCAAAATACCTCCTTCCTCCACTGGTTTTATCACTAACATAGTATTTAACTATTAACAGCTCGAGATGTGGAAAGGTAAGTGCTGCTTTTGAACTTCGTATCCTGTAGAAGCGAAGATAGTCCTTCACTGGTTAATTAGGTTACCCTTTCTGCACATGAAGGAGGCAAACTTAAAGAAAATGTTTGGAGGCGAATATAGACTTTCTTAAGCCTGTCGGGAGAGGCTTCACAAGGCTCTTCTGCAATACTCTTAAATCACCCAAGCTGTTCAGTTAGGGTTTGTTTCTTTATGCTTTTGCATTATACATGATAATCACATATGGGTTATTTCATTTGACAATCAGAAATTTATTATTCATGACTTAATACTGGCTCTGTGCAGTTCTTTTCATTTTTCTCAAAAAAGGGGGTTTTGAAACTACAGAGCACTTCGGTTTTTCCTTTTTTATATATAGACTTTGAGGAGCAGAAAGAGGAGCTACAAAAATATTGTAGTCACTACATGTTCGGGAAAAATACTTGCTTTTTGATAAAACCACTACATTTTGATAATGCTACTTTCTTAACACAGTGAATCACTCACATTTCCAAGAGCAATGTATATTTTTCTGGGCATCAGAATGATGTCTGTTAAAATCTCAGCCTCCTGCATCTGGAAAGAGAGAGACCATTCAACTGCTACCTGGTTTCAGTAACTGAGACCAACTCTTTGTCTGAAATTCAAATTCAAGTCTGCTGTTGTCTCAAAACAGTTTTGCAGCAGTGTGGGAAATGAAGGAAGAAGGTGGCAAACATACAGTATCTGTACAAACTGGAATGCAGAACAAAAAGTGGAGGATTTAAGGGGATTAGTATTTTCCTTTTAGTGGTGGTAGGTCTGCAAGCGGGCTATGGTAGCCATTGTACTGAACCAGTGTGTATGATGACAAATAGAGAACTGGATTGGCTTTGTCATAGCTTCACTTCTGAAGAGATATGAAATGAGTCCTGATGACTGCCTCCACCCATGGAGGGCACAAGAAGTCCAACTCCTGCTACGAGCCAGACCCATGAGTCTGCAACAGTCACAAGCCCTTGAGGACAAGAGCCTTGGGCTTCTGTAGGCTCCTAACAGTGGACAGAACTTCATAACCTTGACCAATGTAGAAAAATCTATCTTCTGACAAAATGTTAGGCAATTCTAATTGATATCTCCCTCTTTTGTGACCTCTTTTTTCCTACAGAAACATAATCCAGATCCATATTTTTACTTACTCCTCGTTAAACACTCATATGAAATATAAAATAACACGTGTTCTTTAACACTAATAGTGCCATGTAGTAGTAGCCAGGACAAATTTCAAAACACACACACACAACTCTTCTATTTCTATTACTGTTACTAAAGTCTATCTAGCTCCTTTTGGAACCAGACACATGCACACACATTTTACATGCATATAATCACATTTGCATTGGCATGTTCAAAGTGTGGGCAGCATTCAAGCACAGTTAGCTTTAGAAGAAACACGTTTGAAAGAGGACTCAGGAGTGGAATTGTATATGAAACATTTAGGAAGTAGCCTTTCTTTAAAAAACGTCAAAATGTTTTGAAGACTTACACATACAGAAACTGAGACATGCAGAGCTCTCTGTGGAACAGAAGGAATATAATTCACTCGGTGCATAGTACCTTTCACTACAACCAAGTTGTACCAGAAATTTAGTGCCTACGCAAGGAAGATTTCAATCAAATAACACAGACACTCGAACACCTGCATAGAGTAAACACCACACTAGCAAATTATGGCCTGACATTGCATACAATTACTAAATACCTACAAGCAAAACCAGTCATCAGTATGTGTGGTGGGGTGTAGGGGTGAAGGTGTTTATGCTTACACACGTGCATGTGTGTGTTTAGAGAGCACTTTAATCTGGTTTATGTTGATGAAGAACTATGTTGACCTTATAGAGATACAACCCTGTAGTTTTAGGAAGTTTGAGTGCTTAATGCTTATCTGAAGAATCTGTTAGTCTTCTGTTTCTGTTAGCTACTAAAAAGCTGAGATGACAGCAGGTTTATTTTGTTTTCAGGCATTATATATGGTGAATGTTAGATGTATTTCTGTTAATGTAATTGTGAACCAATAATATAAAAAGTGTCAAATGGAGAGAAGAAAATCAGTGAAACTCTGTCAAATTTTTTTTAGCTAATACCAGTCATACAAGACGGAAAGAACCAGAAGATCATATTGTCACGACACATCCAATGCTTACCATACTCAGCAGTTTCTATGTAGAAACATGGTAATTCCATGTTACTGATAAAAATGCACTTGTTTGCTATCCTGTGAATGAAGAGCTTAGCAGGGTGTATAGACTTTGTGCAACTGGTTTCAAACAGAAATACATATCAGATTATAATTAATCAGATTAATAACTGCTTTCAAACAGAAATACATATCAGATTATAATTATAATCAGATCATTACTGGTAGCTGAAAAAAGGGTCAGCTCTACTATCTCCACTGCTTACCTGAGAAGGTCTGGCACACTGCTTACCAACTTCAAGCAATTGCAAAGTGGGCTGAAAAAAAAGTGTGCAGGACCAGGAGGTCCAATTGCAGCATGACTCTCTTCCCACACTTCTTTAGTCTTCTCAGCTGATGTCTTCTATGCACACCCAATTTCCTGTGCACTTTTTTTTTTTTTACCTGTTGGTAGCATGTAAGGTTGGTATTATACCTACCCTAGTTGTTTTTACTTTATTCCCAGAGGAACAGCTCCATCCTTTGCGATCTGGAAGAACCTTACATTCCTCCCCTTCAAGACATGGATGCATGTGGCACCACCATTTCTGCTCCACTATTGAAGCTACAAGAGAGGAAGACAAACACATCTGTATGTTGTTGAAATGGACACTTTAATGTCATTAAGTTGCAACATTTCTTTTATTTTCCAGGAAAATCTTAGAAATATATTGACAGACAGCTAGTCTGTGGTTTTTAGCCAGCTCAGAATCTTCATAAGAAATTAGAATCATAGAATCTTAAAACTGTTTCGGTTGGAAAAGCCCTCTAAGATCATCAAGTCCAACCATTAACCTAACCCTGCCAAGCCAAGTCCACCACTAAACCATGTCCCTAAGCACCACATCTACATGTCTTTTAAACACCTCCAGGGATGGTGACTCAACCACTTCCCTGGGAAACCTGTTCCACTGCTTTACAACCCTTTCAGCGAAGAAATTTTTCCTAATATCCATCCTAAACCTCCCCTGGCACAACCTGAGGCCATTTCCTCTCATTCTATCACTTGTTACTTGGGAAAAGAGACTGACACCCACCTCTCTACAACCTCCTTTCAGGTAGTTATAGAGTGATAAAGTCTCCCATCAGCCTCCCAGCTCCCTCAGCTGCTCCTCATAAGACTTGTGCTCTGGACCCCTCACCAGCTTCATTGATCTTCTCTGGATGTGCTCCAGCACCTCAATGTCTTTCTGGTAGTGACGAGCCCAAAAATGAACACAGTACTCAAGGTAGGTCCTTACCAGTGTCAAGTACAGAAGGACAACCACTTCCCTAGTCCTGCTGGCCACACTGTTTGTGATACAAGCCAAGATGCTATTGGACTTGTTGGCCACCTGGGCATGCTGATGGCTCATGGCCGCAGCCCATCGATCCAGCCTGTCCAGACCCCCCTATAGAGCCTTCCTACTCTCAAGCAGATCGACACTCCCACCCAACTTGGTGTCATCTGCGAACTTACTGAGGGTGCACTTGATCCCTTCATCCAGATCACTGATGAAGATATTAAACACAAGTGGTCCCAATTCTGAGCCCTGGGGAACACCACATGTGACTGACAACCAACCCATCGATCCAGCCTGTCCAGACCCCCCTATAGAGCCTTCCTACTCTCAAGCAGATCGACACTCCCACCCAACTTGGTGTCATCTGCGAACTTACTGAGGGTGCACTTGATCCCTTCATCCAGATCACTGATGAAGATATTAAACACAAGTGGTCCCAATTCTGAGCCCTGGGGAACACCACATGTGACTGACAACCAACTGCATTTAACTCTGGTCTTCTTCCCCATCTGCTCGTCTTTCGGCACATGGGGACGGCCTGCTCCTGTGCCTTCGTGATTTCCTTCTTGAAGAATATCCAGCCTTCCTAGACTCCTTTGCCCTTCAGGACTGCCTCCCAAGGAACTCTGTCAGCCAGTCTCCTAAACAGGCCAAAGTCTGCCCTTCGGAACGCAAAATAGCAGTTCTGCTGACCCCACTCCTTAATTCTCCAAGAATCAAAAAGTCTATTATTTTGTGATCACTATGCCCAAGACAGCCTCCAACCATCATATCATCCACAAGTCCTCTGTTCGTGAACAACAGGGTGCCTTCCCTAGCTGACTCACTCACCAGCTGTGTCAGGACGTTACCTTCCACATGCTCCAAGAACCCCCTAAACTGTTTCCTCTCTGCTGCATTGTATTATGTTGCAATTTGCACAAGATGCTATGTGCTTCAAAGTGCTATGTGCTCTTTACTGTGTTGGGTTTTTTTTTTATAATTTACTGCAGTTCAGGAACTGATTTCATAGCATCTCTTTCCAACCCTTATTTTTTCTTGCTCAGACAGATTTCAAAGTTTTAAGTAGAATATATTCTTTTGAGATAGTGGTATTTTACCTGATCTACTATATGGTCTAGCATAGCCTGATTACATTTATTCCCCAATGATGACATATTTACGGTTTCTCTGACAGCCAACAACATATCAACAGTAAAGAGATCATGTAAAGGGTGAATCCATCCTGCTCCTCTTTCAGAGAAAGAGATGTGAAAAATCAGCTAGCATTTTCCCAAATAAAACATATGAGCCTATGTCAGATTTGTTAAGTAAAACATTAATATTGCATCATGTATAGGAAAAATAGTATTGGTCTAAAAAGACTAAAAAACAGCCAGAACTGTATTCTGTTTGTTTGTTCCTGTATGATAAAAATAAATATATAAACAAAATGTAAGACTGCAGCACATGAAAATGATATGCTTATGTATATTTTGCATAAACACATTTAATTAAGTGAATTTCATACAACTCCAAGGGCACTCTTTTAGTTATATCAAATTAAGCTTCTCAAGAGGTCTCTTTCACTGGCATCCAATAATTTTGCTTAGCATTTCCACAGAGTAATAGCAAATGATTCATTTCTCCCACCTTCCTCCCCTTCACCTTGGGCATGCCATTCAAAGTGCAGAATCCTTCCTGCTCTTATTTTAAATAGTTAACTGTAATGGAGTGGTTTTCACTGATGGCATTAAGCCAGCAAAACCCCTAGGAACATGCAACAAAAGGAAACAATAGAGTAGTCGCACCATCAACACAAGAAGGAGCTGCCCGGGTGGTACCTGCTACCTGCCCAGGGAAGCAGGAGCACTTCACCGTCTGCGATCTTTCTTCTATCTTGTTCTTATTGCAACATCTGTGGAGTGCCACCACTTCACAGGTCCCAGTTTTAACATGGTGAGCTGTGAAAACAAGAAGATGAGCAATTTGATAACATTGCGAGGTAACATCATACTGTTTGGGGTTGTTTCTTTTAATTAGAAATACATTAAACTTGGCCTGTAAGGCAATCTGCCATGCATGAAACTAGAATTACAATGGTACTGACACTAGAATGTAAAGTTGAGTTCTTTTCCAAATGCAGTGTAACTATCTCAGGCAGAAAACACTGGCTGAAGAAGAATAATTGGAGAAGACTGCATATGGGACTGTTCCAGTGAAGTGGGAAGCAGAAACATTATAAAACTAACCTAGAAACTATATTAATTTCTGGACTCCCATAAACAGCTGTGTATCTCTACTAAGATTTTTTCTTTTCTTTTCCCTAAGAGAGAAACTTTGAAATGGAAGTCTATCAATATTAAAATACCCATACATGCATACATTTTCAGAATCGATGTCTCCAGACGTCATGTGCAGGGCAGATGCAGTTTTTGATATGATATCCCAACACGTTTCTACAGATGGACAAAACCCAGAAATAACATCTATAAGGAATCACATTTTAAATTGTTCTGCCTGGCACTGCAAAGTAAGTCTGGGAACGTGGTGAACCAAATTTTTCAAACACGGGAAGCAACAGGACAATCTTCATTATCCAGTACCCATCACCCACACCCATGCAGCTCTAACTGATCACCAGAATCATGATACTGGAGTCCTATGAGAGGACCAATTTGGTAA